GCGGGGGGGGTGGGGTGCGGGTGGGGGGGGGGAGAGGAAAGGCTTGTTAGGACCAAGAAATTTCAGTGATTTTAATTTTATTTTTTAGACTTTTTTTTTCCTCCAAAATTTGGGGAGGAGGGGGTGAAGTTTTCAGAACACCTCCTCTTTCTCCTGCTAAATTGAGTGTTCATTGTTTGGTAAGCCAGGGAGAGAAATTCCTTATTGAAAACACTCTTTTAAGCTCCAAAAGTTAAAAAGTTAACATTTGAACTCTGCAATTTTGACATACGGTGAGGATCTACATTCTTCTCTGTCATTGCTGCACTTTCATTTCACACTGATACAGTTTCACCATGACAGCAGTAGTTGAAAACTGAAAGAAGGTGTTTACCACTCAACTGTAATGAAGTCTGGTGAATAAGCTTTGGATGTGTTGATCGACAGTCAAATGTAATAAATAAATATCCCAAGTAGAGCAATTTCCATTTGTTACTTTCTGAGTGATTGATTCATGGGTATTTTCTTGGGCAAAGCTAAATGTGTTCCTGGATTGGAATGCCGCTTAAATGTTTGGGAAGGAGCAGAATCTACATGACAATTCTTTCATTCTTTAGTTTTCTGAAAATCCATAGAAATAAAATTATAAAAACATCTCAGACTGTACTTTTTGTGTATTTAAGGAATCCACTCTAAAATCTGCTGAGCAGAAATCTCCTATTTTTCAGGTTTTTTATTCTTCACTACTTTGGCTATTTGCTAGTCTGAAAGGAAATAATTTCTACTTTTAAGAGGATTTTCCATCACATCTCTATAAATTTTCATAAATGGAAGTTGTAGTAAAATAATTGATATATTGAGGGAATATCGTATTCATAATGAACTATTATTAGATTTCAAATCCACATATAAAATATATCAGAGGATAAAGCTGAAGTGTTTGGGGTTTTTTTCCCTTAAACCCCATAGATTTTAACCTGTAGCTGTGGGGGAAATGGATAATAATTTATTATGGAGATACCATTAACAATTATAGTTTAAATATTTCATCTTTTTATCCATTTTTATATAATTATACACCTTATTGTACACATACTTGTTTATGTAACTGTTAGTGCATGTGTAATTTCACACTTTTTTTCTCAAGTCTCAGTCATTTTCATTTGTTTGTGGTTTATAATTTTATGTTTAAACGTGGAGTACCAAAAAGGTGTTTTGAGCATTTGGGATCAAAGCCAGAACATTCACCAACTCTTTACCCCAATTTCAGTGTCATTGCAGGGTACTTTTAATTTGCATAATTTTCACTTCACAGTTGAATTTGAGCAAGTACTTTTACTAATGCTGAGATCACTACCCTTCCCCTTTCCACCGCCCTGGAAAGCTTGGAACATGTGTTGAAAGTCCCCATTGTATGTTGCAGGATGGTTTCACGCCTTTGGCAGTAGCTTTGCAGCAAGGTCATGACCAGGTGGTTTCACTGCTGCTTGAAAATGATACAAAGGGAAAAGTCCGTCTTCCTGCCCTTCACATCGCTGCTCGCAAGGATGATACGAAGGCAGCAGCTCTGCTCCTGCAGAACGACCACAATGCTGATGTGGAGTCAAAGGTCAGTTGTAAAAACAAAAAAGGTTTGATGCTGTTAAGTGCTGACCACATGTGTTGCATTCGGTGAAGATCTACCTTAGTGTAAAGTGTTTTGCTGCTGAGTTACACATGACTTTCTCCTCTAGTGTGTGATTGAGAATAATATTTCATTTGCTTCCTTTGCCTCTTTCTCCCCTTTTGTTTAATTGGGGTTAATTTCTCCTGTAGAAACTTTGCAGGTGGAAAATAATAAGCAAAATATTATCATAATTATTATCTTGAGAATGAAATTTACTACTGCAGTGGTGCCCTATAGGTATTGTACAATTAAGTAATTTGATTAGTTATTTCTGCAGCTGCTACTTTAAGAACTTTGTTAAACATGTAACAACATTAAAAATACTCAATCATTCAGCTTCCATTCAGTCAAGCTTCCTTTGTGTGCAGATTGTGCTGTCATCTGAGCTGCCATGCCACGTAGCAATCATGAAGCTTTTTGCATCCATATCACCAGTGGTGAACTAACCGTTCATTTTTTCCCCCTCTTTGCTTCCAAATGTGTTAACCTAGATGATGGTGAATAGAACAACAGAGGTATATATAAATATATATATGCATCATCACTCCTCCATGACTTAGTGCTGCTGCATCATTTCTTCCTCCTCCTTTTTGCATCGCCTTTTAAAGGATAGATACCTGCTTTAGATTAAATGAATTAGCATGTGCTAGAGAAGACTGTAGTTTAGATACCAGGGCTTTCTGCAGCTGGAACTAGGGTTTAAAAGTATGAGTAAGCATTCTTGGGAACTAACTGCCATCATAAAAGAGCTATATTATGTAAGATGGAGTTTTCAGGGTTTCTTATGAAGCATATGTTTATCAGATGTGTTAAGAGCTGCAGACAACCCTGTCCTGTTGTGCATCCAGGTCTGATTATAGGCTTCTGCATGACACTTATGTTGATGGTGTCAGCAAATAGAATGATCGAGAGTGATTTTATACCTGCAAAACTCCCAAAGCAAGGCAGTGGCAGCTAGCATGGCTTGCTAACAATTTAGAAATGCATCTAGTTCCCATAAGGTTTCATATTTTGCAGGACTGATGGAATTGCTGCATGTTTTAGCATTTTTTTAAAAGGAAGTGAAACTACTTAAATATGAAAATAAGTTGCTGAAGTAATTTTATCAGTAAGGCATCTTCTAATTAGGGTGGTAACTTGTGGTGTCTGAACATAACCTAGTGTGATTGCCCACAGTGGGAGACTGATCTTTATGGTACCAACCCTTGGAAAAAATATCCATATTAAAAATTAAAGTTGTCTTTGATGTTGTTTTCATTTGCATCTACTTTGAATTTATAAAAAAATGTTAGCAAGTGTCATTAAATTATTTGTATCTGAACTTCTGCAAAGAATCTCTAAGAGATTTGACTTGCAAGACTGATATAATACTGATAACAGCTATATATTTCTAGTTAGAAATTTATTTCTTATAGAAAGATCATTGCTTTAACACTCAAATGTTTTGCTGTTGTTTTTCTGAAATAACTAAGAGTTTTATCCTATTTCTGGTCTTCTAGGATAATTATGTTATTTTTTTCCCTCCTGCATAGCAATATGATTTTATTTAGACTCTTTAAGAATCTATAAATAAACATCAGTGAGTGAAAACTAGTACAGAATTGGAATGGTGACTTGCAACATACTCCTATTACTAGCTTTTGTCAGTGATGTGATACAACTTTTGGAGTAGAAATGAGATATAAAACCCCCAGTATCTATTGGTTTTCTTTTGTTTTTCCAGAGTGGGTTTACTCCTCTCCACATAGCTGCTCATTATGGAAACATCAACGTAGCTACATTACTGTTGAATCGGGGTGCTGCTGTGGACTTCACTGCAAGGGTAAGTGTGAAATCTTAGTTATGTTTAGTTTGCTTAATTATCACTCTGAAACACTTTTTTCCACAAAGGTGTGGAAAGGTACATTGCTTTTGCCAGCAAAGGGACCTGGCCTGACTGCTCTTGTTCTGTTATCATACGGTGCAAGGGGAGTTTCCCTGGGCTGCTGAACTGAACCCGAGCTCTAGTCCTCATCTTGGAAAACTTCTGTTTCTTTTATAGCTCCAGTGTTGCAAAAGCTAGGCTGGGATTCAGAAGATAAATGCTTCCACCTGTAGCTTTAACATATGGCAGGAGTGCTGTCCCTGAGAAATTGTCCTCAATATGCAGTTGTTTCCAATGAACATAAAGTGCAGGTATACTGGTGAATAAAGCAGCTGTGCCTTCTATGCATATACAAGAGTCAGATAATATGTATTAATTTAACGTATCATTGAAAGGAGCTCTGAGAAACTGGAGAGGTAAAACAAAGAAATGAGGTATGGAAATAGAGGGGAGTTGATAATGGAGCTATATGGCAGAAGCCATGGATGAGTGGGAGAACTAACCCTCCTGACCCTGTAAGCTGTGCACAGAAGTCATGATACAGCCCACAGAGGGGCAGGGTAGTTCCTGAGATGTATGAAGAAGGATTCGGAGCCAGGAGGGAAATGTTATGAGCTTTCCTAGTGCCCCCTTGGTTCATTTTGGCCTAGGTGGGGAGCAGCTGATGGGTGGCTTTAGCTGTGTTGTATTATTTGGGAAGTGGGTCTATCCTTCCCAAATCCTTCCAGGAAGGATGAGCCTGGTGCCGGCAGGGCTTCATCTTAAAGCTTGGGACAAAGTTTGACTGTATCTGCTGTCAAGGGTCAGGTCTGTTGGAAGACCATAGAAGAATATTGGAGTGAAGGTGTGTGGTCAGGGTTGGGAGGATGTGGAAACGATTAGTTTGGAAAATGCTGAAGCTAGAACTTCATAATGAAGTTTGAAAAAAAAGAATGGTTTGCTTCTTAGCTTCTTCAGTAATGGCTTGGGCTGTATGAATAAGAAAATGCGTATGGAATTTCTGCTGACACACAGCCAGGTATGGTTGTCAGTACAGGAAGTATGCAACAGAATGTGAAAATGTGTTGAAATTTGTACTAGAAAACAGGTCAAACTTGCCTAAAGAATACACATATTTCTCCTGTTGATTTCTGCAGTAATCTACCAACCAAGAAAGGGGAGGACATGTCTGTAGTAGCTGTTCACTGGGTTATGTGTGTGATATGGTTTTAAAAAAAATAAGCCCCCAAAAGCAAATGTGATTTCAGGTTATTCCAAGGTACCAAACAAAACCCAACCAAAAAAACCACACCAAACTGAACAAAAAAACCCCACCAAAACAAACTGAATCTGTGCAAGTATTTGGCTCACCAAATCTTACCAAAACAAAGCCAGGGAGGAGATGTGGTAGTGGTCCCTAGGAAAACAAAGAGAAAAATGTAAATGGGCAAGAGGCATTCAAACTGAAAGCAAATACTAATGTAAGAGTAAACAGGTATAAAGGGGTCATGAATAAATGTTGTTTAGAATTTTAGGTATTTACTATTAAGTATTCATAATTAATATTATTTAATCAGTAAGTTTAATAATTAATATTAAACATTAGTAATGAGATTCTGAAGCAACCGTTCAATTAAAGTAGAAAAGGAAAAAATTATCCCAATGTGTATTCCAGACAGTGTTTAATTATTAGGGGAATTATGTGGCATGGATAATTCAACAGGTCCTTTTTATTTATTTTCTTATAGGACTTGTCACATTCAGCACTCCCTCCCACAAAAAAAAAAAAACAAAACACAAAACCTCAAAACAACTGAATATTTCTTTTTTTAGATATTGTTTGTAATTAATTAAGGTGAGTTGGTGCAGGGTGTGATAGAGCGGGAACAGACACTTTGAACCAAGACAGACCCAGAATGTTTTCCTTGAACTGTATGTAGAAGCGCAGATGAAAAGTATTGGTACTGGCCACTATTCATTCAACATAACATCATTCAATGATTTATTAACAAAGATAAATCCCCAAAGCTGGAAGACACTGTTATAACTCATGATCCAGTACCTACTAATGCTGGTGAGAAGAGTATTAGCAGATACTGGTTCACACTGATAGTTCAGTATCAAACGTAAGGATCAACTCTCATGTATCCCCCAGAAATTATGTTTTCCAAATCACACTCATCACTAAATGTATTTCATGTTATTGGCAGAGAGGGGTCCTAGGTTAGATCCACATGAAGTTCACAAGCTAAGAATAGATTTGGGGGTTAAAGGTTTCTGGGAAGCTTTTATCTATGCATGCTTTGCTTTCACTAATAACATTGCCCTCTTATTCCCAAATACTTAAACTGACCAAATTAGAAAATTAAGGAATTTTAATTGGTCACAAGCTTTGCTATTCATATTTGATAGACTAATCACAGGAGCAAGGAAGATGAGTGGGGTCTTGGGTCACTCTTTTCCACTCAGAAACAAGATTAGGAATTAGCAATGCTACTACATCAGCAATTAGCAGCATTTAGTACCAGTACCACTAAACATCATCTGCTTATTTTAATCCCTAATAATAAAACAGGTTTCAGCAGCCACCTCTGTTCCGGATTAGGGGCACTGATGGAGAACACACCCAAAGTAATAAGGCCATCCTCCCCTTCTCTTCAAGATATGGAACTTCCAGGTTCTCCCTCCCTGAGAGAAAGGCAGCCTGCTCAGATAGCCAGGGAAGGGCAGATGCAATGGCATCAGCCTGAAAGGGCAGTGGGCTGATGCTGTGCCTCAGAGCGCTGAACAGCTTGTCCATGTTTGTGATAGCTGGGTGGGGGCGTCCAGAGACCACATCTCTACTGTATGGTGGTTGCAAATCTAGATAAAGTAGCAGTGACAGAAGGAATCGTAGCATAAATAAAAGTAATATGGAGTTGAATTTTGTTCTTTAGTGCTTATCAGATGGTGGGTAATGAAAGCACTTCACAGAAAGATGAATTAGATTCTGGCAGAGCAGTGAATTTGTACACAAACAGCATACAAATTTACACTCAACCAGTATAAGTTGAGTGTAAAGTACAGTTATCAACACCAAGTAACAGAGCCCTTGCTTGATTCTTGATTCCCCAAAATGCAAAACAGGTAGACGTACTACCCGTACTACAAGAACAGGTCCTAAAAATGACCTACAGGTACAGCCTCATGGACCACTGCCACCTCATTGCCTCTTGTTGTTTTAATTTCTGCAAACAATATCCAGGATGTGCTGTCTCTCTTGTGGAAGAAGGGTCCTTGTTTGGGTTGTTGACAATCTAAGACAAGCAACAGAGCAAAGATACGGAAGGGCTGTAACCCAACTAAAACATACTATGTGTATGTACTGTAGCTTTCAGAAGTACAAAGAGCAAACTTCAGGATGGGGGTGTCAAATGCACTTTCTGCTTTTGCAAACCATCAACCATTTTTCCTTTGTTCTTGTTAAATACATATGAATCAACACTATTTGTTTATGTCTCAGTTTATGTTTAAACTATTTAGGCAAATATCAGTTCTGAGGAGAGATTTCAACAAGAGCAGAGGATTATGGTAACAAAAGATGCTTGTGTGCAAGGGGCAACATGCAGACCTGTAAGAGGCCAGGATAAATCACAAGATCCCACCATCAATGCAGTGAAGGTGGGGAAGGGTGGTCAAAATGTGAATGGAGGTGTAGAATGAAGACCGAACTCTGGGCTTTAAGGACAATGGCAAGTGTGGTGAAAAGAGGAGCTGGGGAAAAGACGTAAGAAAAAGAAGGGCAGACTTGAGGCAAAGATCTCTTCAGCTGCTGTGTCTTCAGTGCATTTCCAAGAGGTCTGAGAGAAGAAGGAGCTTCCAACAAGGAAGGCAGGGAAAGACATGAGCTTGATGGTGGCTTTTGGTGTTTGGGGAGGAGGTGAGCACTGTTGCTGTAGTGTGAGTAAATGATGACCCCAGAGAGACGCAGTAGCAGCTGCTGCCTTTACCCTCACCAGTACACACCTGCCTGCCTCTCAGCTGTCATATACTCACTTGTTTCCTTCTTTCACTGCACCTAAGGTAAACAGGCATAACTCCAGGAGCTCTTCCAGGTGTTACAGTGCCTGCTAGCCTGTGTACCTGCTGACCTTGGATGCTGGTAGGGTTGGAAATGTACCTGCTTTTGGTTTGTGCTCTTCTAGTCCAGTGACTGATTTCATGTCAGCTCTTCTGCTGAATGTCACTAGTGCTTCTGTATCTGTGCTTTCTTCTCTAGCCTTGCTGCAAGTGCAGGGAAGATGGCATAACATAGAACGTGTCCCGTGGGATGAATAGAGATCATTTCAGTAAATCACCTTGTGGTACCCCTGATTCTACCAGTTTACAGGGAGGAAGTTCCAAAATCTTCATAACCTCCGTCCAAGCGAAGCAAGAACTCCTGTTGGGCTGGATGCTTGCCGTTTTCTGATGAAGGAAAAATACTCATTCCAAAGTGCTTGATTTCTTGGGCTCAAACTTGGCAATAAACTACCACAGTTACTGGCAAGATATGCACTGTAGAAGTAACAGGCATTTTATGTCTATTTATCATCTTTTTTTTCGGTAGTACATTTTCATGTGTGTGCCTGTGCTTTTCTGAGACCCTTCAAAGCTAAAGAAATCCCTTCATTGCATCACCGTATTTCCCTTTTACTTAACTGGGAGGCAATCACATATGGACTAGAGAAGTGGAGGAAGAGAATTAAAGGTAACTGAGGGTGAAGTAAGTCTCCTTTCTTAGCCAAACTGTGACAACTGCATGCAGTCACTACCTGGCTTTTGAAGGATCCCAGCAAATCCAGGTACCATTCTCTTAGCTGGAAATGGCACCTGACATTGGAAAGAAGTGGATAAATCCTAGTTACAAACTGAAAGAAGGCCAAAGACCTTTAAGTCAATCTATTATCAATTTTTTCAACACAAAAGAATAATTGTTATTTTAATAAAAATACCGTTCA